CATAAATGATATTTATACTATAGATTTTGTTTATCTCTTACTTTTTTTTTACTACTAATATATTGTGGAGGTCTTCCCACAGCATCATGTATAGATCTACTTCATTTTTTAAAATAGCTGCATAGTATTCAGTTGTATGGTTGCACTATAATTTATTGAACTGTTCCCCTATTTTTCCTTTTTTTTTTTAATTAGAAAAAGCTGTATCTTTATGTGTTTGTCAGAGTTTATCTGTAATATAAATTCCTAAAAGTGAAACCATCAGGTCAAGTTATGGCATTTCAAATTTTGCTAGATATTGCTGTGTTAGTTTCCTATTGTTACATAAAAAATTACCACAAACTTCGCACAGTTCTGTAAGTCATGGTTTGGGACACCCTGTGGCCAGGTTCAATGCTCAGGGCTTTCTAAGGCTGAAATCAAGGTGTCATCTGGGCTGTACTTCTTTTCAGAGGCTCTGGGGAAGAATCCACTGCCAAGCTCACTCTGGTTATTGGCCAGATTTAGTTCCTGTGATTGTAATGATGTCTTGGTTTCTTTACTGGTTGTCAGCTGGGAGTCACTCTCAGCTCCTAGAAGCTGTCCACATTCCTTACCATTTAGCTCCCTCCATCTTCAAAGCCAGCAGTGGAGGATCCCCTTGACCTTCCCCTTTGAGTCCCTCTCATTCCTCTGACCTCTTTTACCAGGCACTTTTATGGGCTCAAGTGATTAAGTCAGACCTACAGAGGATAATCTTCCCTATATTAAGGTCAACTGATTTGGGACCAGACTTCGGGAGAGTCCCTTCACAGCAGCACTGAGATTTGCGTTTGAATCCCTGGAAGGTGTGTGTGCACTAGGCGGAAATCTTGGGGGTCATCTTAGAATCCTGCCTACCACAGTTGCTAGCTGCTGCTGTCTAAAAGAGTTGGACTAATTTGCACTCCTACCAGCAGTATACAGATGTGCCTATTTCTCCCATCCCCATTTTTCTACTGGGTTGTTTAATCTTTTTCTTAGTTATTTGTAAAAGTTTTGTGTTTAGGATACTAGTTTTTGCCATCAGAAAGTTATAATTGCTCTCTGTCATTTTTTCCTTTGGGACTCCTGGCTTATAAAGGTTTTCACCTGTTTTCTTCTAGTACTTAGGTTATTTCATTAAAAAATTTTTTTTTTCTGTGATCCAAATGACTAGCCACTTGTTATAACTTCACATATTAGATAATTTTAAAATTCAATTTAAACCATTATTATTTTATCATTGCAGTTCTAAACAGATGCCTCCATTGCTTGCATGTCAGCTCTGAAGTCAATGGTTTCTTCTTTCAGATTCCTTTTTCCAAATTTTTCTTCTCTAATCAAGGAAGAATCCGGGATGCCCAGTACCAGCTTCTGCTTGACAAGGTAACATTTTCCTGTATTTTCACTCAGAACTATATTATCTTTAGTGAAACAGAACTCCTGTGAGGGTGAGTTCAGTCCACTTTTGAAGGCTGGCAAATGAAAGATGAAAATTCCTATTTAAGTATACTCCTATTATACCTAGACAGATGCTGACTCAGAGCTATCCTGTGAGCCAAACCCCCATCCTGGAGGAATTTCAGTATGGTCCTCCTTTCAGCGTGCCTACATTTTATTTTAGCTTTAAAATAAGAGTATTAGAGTTCAGGAGAGCTTCAAGGAACCTCCATTAGACATCCATGTTGTACTTACTAGTCTTAACTGGCACTGCTTTAAAGAGAGAAGTAGAATGTGGAAAGAAAAGCAGTCCTGTACTTCCTCTTATAATTGGCTACGGCACGAGAACTGTGGCATACTTGCTAAGGGCTGATAGTACGGAATTTTAAAACTCCAGGAACAATATCAGCATATGAGATTTTGATCAATTTCTCTATTTTAAATTTAGATCTCTTCTATCGGATTCACCCTGGCTGATAAAGTGGATGGTCCATTCTTCCTAGAAATAGATTTTATTGGAGTATTTACTGATCCAGCCCACACAGAAGAATTTGCCTATGAAAATTCTCCAGAGCTTAATCCAAGACTTTTTAAATAGAGATCATGTAGTATTTCTGTGTTACTAAACTAAGGGTAGTAGAATCCACAATGACAAAATTAAAGTACTTCTTTAATGGCATCCAAACAATGGCTGGTATGTATTCCCTAAAACATGCTGCTGCTAAGAGGGACCAGGATCTGAGCTGTACCTTAACTTAAAGAATCGAGTACTGATGCAGAGGTACTACGTAAATGTTTTTGGCTAGAATGATTCCTATTAGCAACAGTTCCTATATAAGTAGGTGGTTTCCAAAGCAGGGAGTCTCTGAGGTGACTGTTTATGGCCCTCTACCATTCTATTCCTTATAGGTTTCTTCTGTTTTCTAATCTATCAGGACAGGAGACTGTTGAAAAATATTAAGGTGCTGTAGTAGTCACTGGGAAAAGATACCTGTTTTAGTCTGCCCAAGCTGCTATAACAAATTACTATAGACTAGGTGGCTTAAACAAAACACATATGTATTTCTCACAGTTCTGGAGGCTGGGAAGTCCAGGAGGCTGGGGAGTCCAGGATACCTGGTGTCTGGTGAGTGCGTCTTGGCTTGTAGACAGCTGCCTTCTTACTGTATCCTCACATGGAGAGAACAAGTTCTAGTCTCTTTCTCTTCATATAATAGCACTAACCCCATCATGAGGGTGCCACCTGCCTGACCTAATTACCTCCCAGAGGCCTCCAAGTATACCTCAAAGTACCAAGTCATATTTGGAATTAGGATTTCAGTATATGAATTGGGCAGGGGGTGCAGGGAACGGACACAAGCATGCAGTCCATAACACCTGCATAGCTGGTTCTCCAAAGATGCATGATCCTTACCAGTTCCTACTTTATAGACTAATGTCCCCAAGGCTTCCCCAGTCGTTTTTAGTATTAGAGATTGCATATACCAAAAATAAGACCCTGATTAACACAGTTTAAACTGATAAATTCTTGTCATCTTAGAGGAAGAAGTAGGAAACTATATGATATAGCCAGAGTACCCAGTGAGAGCCAAGTTTAAAATAAGAGAATACACAAAGGCTGATAGCTCTCCCATCCATCTTGGCCTAAAATACCTATTTTGTATGTTTTCATGTAATTATCTGTTTTTCAGCTTTATTGAGGTATAATTTACACAACATAAAGTTCATCTGTTTTAAGTATACAGTTCAATGATTTTTTAGTTTATTTACAGAATTGTGCAGTCTTTTTTTTTTTTTTTTGGCCGTGTCACATGGCTTGCTGGTTCTTAGTTCCCCGACTGGGGATTGAACCCAGGACCACGGCAGTGAAAGCACCAAATCTTAACCACTGGACTGCCAGGGAATGCCCAGAATTCTGCAGTCTGTCTTTACATGAACTAATTGTAGGAAATTTCTGTCAGCCTAGAAAGAAACCTCAGTGCCTCTTTGCAGTTACTCTTCATTCCCACTCTCAGCCCCACAATTGCTAATCTACTTTTGCTGTAGGTTTATCATCTCTGGATATTTCATATAAATAGAATCATATATGATCTTTTGTGTCTTGCTTCTTTTCACTTAGCATAATGTTTTTGAGGTTCATCCATGTTGTAGCGTGTTTATCAGTATTTCATTTTTTTAGTGCATATTTTTAAAATCCATCCATTGATGGACAGCTGGATTTTTCTCCACTTTTTGGCTACTGTGAATAATACTGCTGTAAATATCTGCAGACACAAGTTTTGGTGTGGACATATGTTTTCATTTCTTAGGAGAATTGCTGGGTCATATGGTAGATGTACATTTAAATTTTTTAAAGAAACTACCAAACTGTTTTCCAAAGTGGTTATATCATTTCACCTTCCCAGTAGCAGTGTATTTGACACAGATTTCTTGATTGATCTGATCTCTGCCTCTTGATAGCAAAATCTGAGTTTATTAAGCACCCAGGAGTATGCCATGTTCTGTGGGCCCATATACATACAACAATAAGTATAACAATCTGACAGGTGCTGTGAAAATACAAAAGGACATAGTCATTTCTTCTAGGAGTGGGGAATGGACGGTCAAGAAAGGATACACAAAGAGTACAAGTCAACTCTTGTTAGTCTTGGCTGGTCAACTAAATTTTAGAAACCAATTACATTTACAAAGAATGAATCTACCCAAAGAATGATTACAAAGAATGAGAAAAAATTTTATTTATGAAAATTTTAAGCAGTACAAAACTCGGAAGCTCCATTTGGGTGCAACAGACATGGATATGATACTAAGCAACTCTAGTCTTTTCCATAAATTGAGTAAGATGTATAAGTTTGACAGAGCATATAGTAATCCTTAAAGCAGCAATCCTCAAATTTCAATATGACCCTGTATATTTCTAAACAAGCCAGGCTAGAATGAGCTATAGAGTTTTGTTTTTAAGAATATATTGAGGAAAAAAAAAAAAAGAGATATGTAATTGACAATTACATGAAGTGATCTGAAAGAGGTACATAGAAGCTTAAATGAAACATTTCACATAGATAAAATATTGATGCCTTATAAACCCATATGGCCCACAGTTTCGGTAAGGCTACTAGGTTCTCTAGAGGATGAAGAGGTGGCCTTTCACAGCTTACCCTATTCATAACTTGTTATTGTTCAGTTTCTACTAAAGTCTGTAGTATAATTAGCTACCATCAGGTAAGTGCTTTTGCCTAGAAGAGGACTGAAATTCTGTTATTAGAGCCAGCAGAGGGAACTTGACCTTAAAAATCTAGGTCAAGAATCTATAGGATGGGTCTTTTTAGAAAACTGAGTTAGTTGTACAGGGGCTTAGGTAAAAACTATTTCAAAAGAATTTGAGAGCTTTAAAGGTAGTAATGTCTTTTCAGGGGTAAAACATGTGAAGAAGCCACAGACACTACATATATATGAACAAAGTTAAGAGCAGAAAAAGGTCTTTTGGCTAAAGTGAGAGGACAGTACAAAAATATTTACAAAGAGCGTTCAGAGAAAAGGAATATTTACGGGATATTAAATTATGAATGTTCAGCCATAATGAGGCCCCTTCGAACTCCCAGAACCTTTGCTTTCTTCTCCTTTCGTTCTTGCTCATGTTTCTTCCGTTGCTCCTCCCTAAGGAGGGATAGGTATACGTTAGGCTCTAGTGAAGCTCCAAACAGACACTTCAAAGCACCTGTTAGACTAATGTCCAAACTTAAAATGACATCCAGCACACTTGTGTAAAGTACACTCTTACAGGACACTGTGCTCTGTCCAGTGGTCTCTGTGATGGAAGCCACACCTGTAAGTCACTGTTGTGTTAAAAGGCTAGAACTTGGTTGTTTTTGTTGTTGTTGTTTTTAATGTTAAGGCAGCATTCTAAAATCAAGCATGGAATTGGAAGCAGAAGACACCTTGGAGATCGAATCCAACCCCTGTAGTTTTTTTTAGTTTGTTTTAAATGAGAAACCTCTACCTGTGGAAGTCGAAGGTTGAGCTCAAAATCACATTGTCTAATGAAAGTGCTAAAATTGGAATCAGGGTCTCTGACTTAAACCACTATGATTTTGGGGGGAAGGAATTAAGAGAAAAAAAAGGCCCAGAATCATGATAATGATTTTAATAGCAAATAATAAGGTCTTGGTGGTAGTTGGCAAGTCAAATGGTAGTTAACCCAGTATCCAGGAGGGTGTCACACAGGGAATCGGCCAAACCAGGACCAGCTGCAGCCCAGGACAGACTCTGGTGTTAACTTGGTTTTCACGCAGAAAGAAGCCTCTAAGGATCATCCTGGGGTTTCCCCCTGTGTAGAGCCCTGAAGCCTAGAGAGCCTGGTTTCCCTGGGAGTGTGAAATTTACGTGCATACTTAGGTGCCCTGGGCACCTGGATTGGTATCTGGAGGGACATCCAGGTGGACTGTTTGGACAGATAGGTCATGTAAGAGCAGTGCTATGAACCGGGTCCTCTTCTGAATCACCTGCAGAGCTTTGGAAACAATGCAGATACATGGGTCCCATCTCAAACCTACTGAATTAGAACCCACTGTGGTATTGCCTAGGCACATGTACTTTTATTAAGTTCTGTATATGATTCCACTTCTACCCTCTTCTTAAACACCACTATTACTGTGACTCTATCCCTCAGAGACTCTGCTTTTATATACATTCTTTCAAAATTAAAAGAATTAGAACTGGATAATTATGTACTTACCTGGTCTGGCGATGAGGTCGTTTATAACTTTTCTTGTGTAAGCTAACTCTGTTGACATGTTCATTCAGAGAACTGTTTTCTTTAGATTGTCCCCATGGTTTCAGTTTTCCTAGTTTAGGACAGAGACAGAGACAGATTTAAGAAGATTCTTGGGACTTCCCTGGTGGCGTAGTGGTTAAGAATCCGCCTGCCAATGCAGGGGACATGGGTCGAGCCCTGGCCTGGGAAGATCCCACATGCCGCGGAGCAACTAAGCCTGTGTGCCACAACTACTGAGCCTGTGCTCTAGAGCCCACGAGCCACAACTACTGAGCCCGTGTGCCACAACTACTGAAGCCTACGCTCCTAGAGCCCATGCTCCGCAACAAGAAGCCACCGCAATGAGAAGCCCAAGCACTGCAACGAAGAGTAGCCCCCGCTCACCACAACTAGAGAAAGCCTGCACGCAGCAATGAAGACCCAATGCAGCCATAAATAAATAAATGAAAAGACTCCTGTATTTATATTCCTAATTTTCTCTTCATCTGTGGCTACCTGCTTGCTGTCAACATTCATACTTCGTTGTTTTTTGTTTTTTTTTTTTTTTGCGGTATGCGGGCCTCTCACTGTTGTGGCCTCTCCCGTTGCGGAGCACAGGCTCTGGACGTGCAGGCTCAGTGGCCATGGCTCATGGGCCCAGCCGCTCCGCAGCATGTGGGATCTTCCCGGACCGGGGCACGAACCCACGTCCCCTGCATTGGCAGGCGGACTCTCAACCACTGTGCCACCAGGGAAGCCCCATACTTTGTTTTTAAAGACATTTGCCAGTATAATTCTATTAATTTCAATTTAATATTCCACAGACAGACATTACATTTTTTTTCCTCTAAAAATAAGTGTCTTCTACTTTTTAATCCTTGGAAAGCCAGAAAAAAATCTTAAAAAAACAAAAAAACCCTTAATACTGAATCCCATTACACAGCACATTAAAAGACGCCATAACAACTAAGTAGTTTATCCCAACGTTGCATAGGAATGTTTAATATTAAAGTAGTATTTCATCTGTGCAGTTTATTGTTACCTATTAAAATGTATTTGGAATGGAACAAGTGGGAATATTTTGTTGGCTTTAGAACTGTGACCAAATTTCCAGATGTTTATATATTACTTTATTTGTATAGTTTGACCTACTTCTGAGTACCAAAGATTACCATTTACAGTGTTTCCCATTTTATAAAAAGGACTTTCACACCTGCCGTATCATTTGATCCTTTCAGTAACCACTGAAGTAGTACTTATTTATTTTCCCTTCCATAAAGGAATTAAGTGACTTGTCTAGGATATAAAATAACAAGCACAGATGAAGGTCTCAACCAGGTTTTTTACCATCAGTAGAAGTTAGTGGTGATCAGTCATTCCCATAACAAATACTTTTTGAGTACCTGGTATGTGCTAGGGACTATTCTAGGTGCTAGGGACATAGCAGTGAACCAAGTGGTCAAAAATCCTTGCTCTCTAGGGGTTACATTTCCAGTGGTAGAGGTAGACAGTAGTCAAGTAAGATAACACCAGGTGGTGCTATGTACTATGGAGAAATGTAAAACAAGGTGAGGAATAAAGAGTGCGGGTGGGTGGGTGGGCAGGTAAGACCTTTCTCGGTTGCTGACAGTTGAGTGGATGCACCATTAAAACAAGGGAGCAAGCTGTGCAAAGATCAGTGTGAATAGTGTTCCAGGTGGAGCAAAGGGATAACAAGTTCAAAGACCCGGAGGAGGGGTGGTGTTTCAGTGTTTGAGGAGCTGAAACACCAGTGTGGTTGGCACAGAGTCAGGGAAGGGAGGAGGCAATAAAATGAGGGTGGGATAGAGACAGGAAACCTTAGGAGGTTCTGAGCAAGCAGTGATGTGCTCTGATTTGTTTTTAAAGTTGTAGTGGGGCAAAGAGGCTTTTGTAGAAGCCTAGGTAAGATGATGTGACTTGGACCAAAGGGAGTCACAGTGGAGGGATGAAGAGTGGTCAGATTAAAGATCAATTTCAAAGATGGAGTTGAAAGGACTAGCCGATGGACTGGATATGGGGTCTGAGGGAGAGTGAGGAACCAAAGGTGACCCCTAGGCTTCTGCCCCGACAGTCGGGAGAGAGGTGCCATTGCCACAGATGGGAAAACTTGGGGAGGAAAAATGGGTGGGAGAAGTTTTCTTAAACCATGATTCAGTTTGACTCTTACCTCTAAATAAGGCTTACATTTTTAGGCTTCCCTGGTGGCAGAGTGGTTAAGAATCCACCTACCAATGTAGGGGACAAGGGTTCGAGCCCTGGTCTGGGAAGATCCTACATGCTGCGGAGCAACTAAGCCCATGCATCACGACTACTGAGCCCGCGAGCCACAACTACCGAAGCCCGCGCACCTAGAGCCTGTGCTCCGCAACAAGAGAAGCCACCACAATGAGAAGCCTGCACACTGCAACGAAGAGTAGTTGCTCACTGCAACTAGAGAAAGCCCACGCGAAGCAACAAAGACCCAATGCAGCCAAAAATAAAATAAATTTATAAAAAAAAGACTTACAAAAAAAAAAAGGACTTACATTTTCATTATATTTGTTTCATTAACATTAGTAATTTAAAAATAAACACTGTTACATGATTCTTATAGGAAGGTTTTGTTTTAAAGTAATTCCAGAAGCACTGACAGATAGATCACATTAAGTACTGACGTTTTAAATGGATGTAAAGATACTTTAATATATCCCCAAGAGCGATATCTGGCCAATAAATGTCCCAGATTGTTTGACCAGTGATTCTCAGCTTGGGATCCTTTAAAAACTATAAAGAAAACATTCATTTACCCACAGCCTAACTTCCAAGTTTCTTGATGTTGGCTGAAGTTTTATTAATACTTTGTAGTAACACTGATTATAGAAGTTGTCTTTGCTTAATAAAAACATAAGTGAATCAATTTTTTTTTTTTTTAGTATTTGTTTAATGGACACTTTTTAAATCATGGGTCACGTGGATACAGGGGCAGAGGCAGGAATTCTACGCCAAGTATGGCTTCCAGTGAGTCACTAGAATTTTTCATATCCTCAGATGTGGAACTGTTCAATCTTAAATCTTGTACATCAAAACATTCCCACATACCTTTGTGTGGCTCATAGTTGAGGGGACGAGACAAGCTTGCTTTGAGATCAAACACTGGTTTTCTGTGGGAGATCGGAGTTTGCGCTGCCTCAGCTGTCAACTTGAACGGGGTAATAACTAAAACAACCAATAAGATCCAAGGGCTTAATTAGAAAAAAAGACCTGTTTAAGTATCACTTTTCAATCTTAAAAATAGAATTCAATATGAACAGTCTGAAACAGATATAGGGTTAAAAAGGAGAAGAAAATGGTTCTGATGAACCTAGGGGCAGGAGAGGAATAAAGATGTAGACATAGAGAATGGACTTGACACGGGGTGGGGGGGAAGGGAAAAAAAAAGGAGAAAAGAATGAGGAAAACTAACCCCTTAGCTGTTCCCCTGTTAGCAGCTCCCCAAAGAGTCTAAATATTGTGACATTTCCTAGGCTCAGCTGGAGTTTAGAATCCTGTTTTAAGAATTAATCAGGTGAGGGACTTCCCTGGTGGTCCAGTGGGTAAGATGCCATGCTCCCAATGCACAGGGTATGGGTTCAATCCCTGGTTGGGGAACTAGATCCCGCAGGCATGCTGCAACTAAGAGTTCGCATGCCGCAACTAAGACCAAATAAATAAATAAATATTTTTTAAAAAAAGAATTAGGGCTTCCCTGGTTGCGCAGTGGTGAGAGTCCGCCTGCCGATGCAGGGGACACGAGTTCGTGCCCCAGTCTGGGAAGATCCCACATGCCGCAGAGCGGCTGGGCCCGTGAGCCATGGCCGCTGAGCCTGCGCCTCCGGAGCCTGTGCTCTGCAACGGGAGAGGCCACAACAGTGAGAGGCCCACGTACAGCAAAAAAAAAAAAAGAATTAACTGGGTGGGAGGGATAAATTAGGAGTTTGGGATTAACATATACACACTACTATACATAAAATAGATAACCAAAAAAGAGTACCTACTGTAGAGCACAGGGAACTATACTCAATATTTTGTAATAACCTATAAGGGAAAGGAATCTGCAAAAGATTATATATACAGTTATATATACATATATATATATATATATATATATATATGTGTAATTGAATCACTTTGCTGTACACCTGAAACTGACACAACATTGTAAATCAAGTTTATTTCAGTTAAAAAAAAATAACCGGGTAAATTTTCAGGCTGCTTCCCTGATATCTACCCTTTTATTTATTTATTTTTTAATTTAGTTTTTCTTTTTTGGCTGAGCCATGTGGCATGCGGGATCTTATTTCCCTGACCAGGGATGAAACCTGCACCCCCTGCAGCGAAAGCGTGGAGTCCCAACTGCTGGACCACCAGAGAATTCTCTACCCTTTAAAAAAATTATATATTGTTAATAGTAACATTTTCATTAACACAAACAGATATAAAGCCTGCAAGGAACCTAATCACATAGAAATAAAAAGATCCATGGCTCTGGTTGTTACTAATGAAGGCTGTTACCGAAGAATATGAATTTTTGTAACATAAAGTTAAAAATATACCAGGATGGTATAATTTGGTAAGCCACATTTTTGCTACAGTTGGGCAGCATATATCTGGCACATTTTGTAATCCTTTCCCCTCACAGGTTGCATTCAGGCCATTGTCAAATGTTGGCATTTGCCCGTATATGTGAACAAGCAACTAGGATCTAGGACCACCTAGTGAAACAACCCAGAAAAGCACAGAACTCTTGTGCTGAAGCCATTCCACTGTGTTGCTATCAAGTGTTGGCAGGGAGGGGAACAATAGGACTGTCCCACACCGCTGATGAGAATATAAACCAGTACAATTCAACCAGTAATGTGTCTATCTACCCTACTATCCAGCAGCCCCAGTCCTACTCTCGAGAAACTGTGTACACGGACAGGAGACATGTTCCAGAATGGTCATAGCTACACTATACAAAATAACAAAAGTTGGAAATACCCATGGGGTCCATGAGCAGTAAAATGGATAAGTTGGAATATATCCATACAACTGAAAAACACGGTGAAAATGAACTTTAGCTCATTTATTAACATGATTCTTGAAACAGTAAATAAAGCCAATCACAAGAAAAAAATTTGTTTGATTTCATTTGTATAAAATTCATATTTGATAACTGGGGAAAGAAAACTATCCCATTCCGACTGGGCACACTCAAGTTACTTAGAGGAGAAAGCTCAGGATATGGCAAACATTTAGTTCCTGCCTCATGTCCTTATCTGTATTTGTGAGTCCGTTCTCAGTATTAGGCAGGTGGCTGCTGCTCAGTGACCCCTGCTCCATGTAAAATGACACAGTCACATCTTAGGCAAGTCCACTCTTCATTTTTTAGCCCTACTCTCTGCCCAAGCCCCTTTCTTCCCCTATTACAGGATGATTTAGAATGTTATGTGGAATGTTTCCTTGCTGATATAGAAACGATTAAGGGTGGGTAGGAATGAGAGAGGTCATCTAGAGGAAGAATCATAAATTTTCTGATCCCACCTCTGTACTCTCTCTTGAAATTTAGTTGTCAGTCCCACTATTCAATCTTTAACTTAGGTGTCAAAGGCATGAAAAAAATCCTCAGAGTCTCCACGCTGATTGTTACCAACAATAATACTCTCCTCTTGTTTAAACTCTTGCTGGATTGCTCTAGTCTCAGGGAATCTGGCAGTCCTTCCTGTGTAATCAAGGCTCTTGCCTGACATTCAGTAGGACTCTCGAGAGAATTTTGATATACTCAGTTCTAATACAGGCCTTAACCTGTTGGTGATACTCTTTTAAACCTTCACACTGCTATTGCAGTGTTCTTCTGAAAACCACTTGGTCTTTGTAGGTGATGATTAAGTAGACAGTGTGTAGAAGATTATCTATATGGCTTATTCTGGCTTATACAATCTACTAGTAGTAAATAGTGTGGCATTTATTCCATGAACTCTGGGTCCTGTTAGTTTCAGAGTCTGGCAGAACCATTCAGAGGCTGTAATGAATACTGTAATCCCCCTCCTAATCCCTGAGAAGGGGCTGAATGTTCTTCATTCAGGACAGGATGGAGTCCTCTGACAGATATACCAGTTTTTCTGTCTGTGTCCCTGGCACTTCCCTTGCCAGTATAAATGAAAACTATGCTAGACAAATTTTTGCTTTTGATTCTATAGATAATGGAGAGGCTTTAAAGAAACAGACAATCATATTAGGAAGCTACATGGTTTAAAGATAAACCAGAACTTTGGGGGATGGGAGGGAGGTTGTTTTCTTTTGTTCTGTTTTTTTTTACCAGCAGCAGATTCAGCCCTTGTGGTCTTTAACTTGTGTGTCCCGAGCACAGCCTGGCCTTTTGGGGTACTCTCAGATGTGGCCACATGTGGAGACTTTCTGGCTGGAGTCTTGGTCAGTGAACGCTTATGCTCATTATCTTTAGTAGCAGCTGAAAACCTAAATAGGACAGTGGAGTATAAGACATGAGTACTTGGGTCAAGCTTCTAAACAAAACCACCTACCCATCACCAAGCACTGAAAGGGCCTCAATAAATACTTGTTATACAAATGAACCTCTTTCACAGAATAGACATGTTCTTAAACAATGATGCTAGAGCAAATCATTTATCAACTTCTGTTATTTGTAAAATATGGTTTTACATTCTCTGCCCTCCCTGCCCTGGCCAATGACAGTATAAGGCAGAGCTCAAAGGAGACGCCTATGGGCATCAAGTTATAGTTTAGGAGGTATTTTAAAAAGCTCCCCTTCTTTCTCCTCCTCCTAGTGAGGGCAAGTCCAAGGGAACAGGAGATTGCTATGCCAAATGGGTGATGGGAGCATTTCTTCCATCTTCCTAGAAGAATGTCATTCATTTGAGTGGTACATAAGTCCTTCTCTACTCAGAGCAAATTGCCATAAATGTTTCTCATTGATCCTCTGATGCAGAGTTTTTCTACATTTTAACATCTCTGAAATTAGAATGTGTTTTACAATTGGTAACACATCAAAGTTAGTCGGCAGTGCTTTTTCTTAGTGGTTCATAAAATAATGGTGAGCCTTCAGTGGATGGTATCTTAGATTCAATGAAAATCCAGTAATGACAGACATAAATACACATAGGGTTGGTGGTGGTGGGTTAACAGAAGGGAACTTCTGGACTTACAACTGAAGATTTGATGGTGATCCTGAATCAACATCTAAAATTATTACCCAAGACTCTACAACAGAGTTAAGAAAATTAGATGTGGTAGGAAAAGTGCTACTAATTCCAGGCTGTTCTGTACCCTGCATGAAGCAAGGACTAGCCCCTGACCATGGTGTTCTTAACTATTAATAAATACAGTCAGAACTGCCAAGTATAGGTACCTCATATTCCAGGCTAACTCAGCAAGAATTCCAAATTCAAGGGCATTTTTCAGTTTTTAAAAACTATGTCAGATAATTGCACGTATTGGGGAAGTGTTACCATGTCAGTTCTGTTAGATGCTGCAAACACCCTTAAAAAAGGAGAGAATCAAATTTCGGTATTAAGAGAAAGGAGCCTGAAGATCTTCATCTGTGGGGACAGTCACAGTTGAGGGCTAACCTGATGTCAGGAAAGGCACAAGCAAAGAAAACAGGGATCAATGAGCATGAGATGGCTATGCTACTGCAGTACCCAGTGGGTTACAATGTTCATAGTTTAGGATGAGTCAATTCTTTCGCTCACTACATTGGGAGATTAGGAATTTAGCTTCAACTTTATATTTACGTCAACGGAAAAATTTCTATTTACACATCTTTGCAGACATACATTAAATTAATAAGGTAAAATACCCATATAGATCTTATTTTCTATCTTTACTTATGAATCAAATGTGAGCTTAGGGGGACTTCTCTGGTGGTGCAGCGGTTAAGAATCTGCCTGCCAATGCAGGGGACACGGGTTTGAGCCCTGGTCCGGGAAGATCCCACATGCCACAGGGCAACTAAGCCCATGCGCCACAGCTACTAAGGCTGCGCAATGGGGCCCGCGAGCCACAGCTGTTGAGCCTGTGTGCCACAACTACTGAAGCCCATGCACCTAAAGCCCATGCTCTGCAACAAGAGAAGCCACTCTAATGAGAAGCCCACGCACCACAAGGAAGAGTAGCCCCCGCTCGCCGCAACTAGAGAAAGCCTGGGTGCAGCAATGAAGACCCAATGCAGCCAAAAAATAAATAAAAAACTAAAACAAAACGAATAAAAAGGTAATGTTTTAAAAAAACCCACGAGCTTAGGGAAGGTGGACAAAACAAGAAAAACACAAATTTAAGGGAAAAAAAGTGACTTATAAATAAAAAACATTTGCTGATCTCTCTCTCTATTCCGATCCTTTCTCCTTTTTCATCAACACTAAAACATTTGTTGTAGTCCACCTGAAATATATTAGAAGCAGTAAAGCTTTGAGCCCTCGCCCTTGGTTCCATTTTGGAGCTCTTCTTTACCTGACGTTCATCTTAGTTGCTGAGTGCGCAGAGCGCTTGGCCAGCCCCTTCACACACAAGGTGCCACGGCCTGCGTGGGGCCGGCCTTGTGAGCCCCGTTGGCTGGCAGGGGTACAAGCCACAGAGAGTCTTTCTCGGGGAGGAACTGGAGTTGCCGCCACTCCCTTAGTGCCGGGCTGCTTCTGAAGAAAGGGAAATGCACCACATTAAAGCTGGCCTGTGAGACAATATTGTCTGGGCAAAGTGCAGGAGAGTGCCCCCATTTATCCCCTTTCATTGCCACTTTCAACCCTGTCAGCCTTCCTTCCCCACTACCTCACCCTACCCTACCTGCCTGGCAGGCTGAGCAGTTCCCTGCACCTGTGTTGCTATGGTGACTCTGATTTAAGAGAAACTTCTTGTTCTGCTGAGTAACGTGTTACAGAAAGCCTTTCCCAGCTACCAGGTCCCCAGGTATTTTCTAACTAGAGAAAGCAGGTGGCTAAACAGTCCCCCATGGCCAGAAAGGGAGGATAAATCGGGGAAAGATGGTTCCTTTGAGAGCATGATATGCAGTTTATTAAATACAAACTCAAAGAGAAACCTACTATGTAAAAACTTATGGAATCTACAAATAATTCCTCCCCTATCCACCCCTGGCTCCCCAATAGCTTTTTAAAGTTCTTTTTAAAAAACCTAAAGAAAAGAAAGAAGGGAGGAAGGGAAATGCTCTCTTTGAAATGGCAGGGAAGGGTTCCACTTATGTTATCTTTTTCTAGATACTGTCAAAGCACAAAGAATGATTGAATGTTTTACTATCATTAGTCTAAGCTCTGTTGGCAAGCAGAAGAAATCTAACTTCACTGACAGCAGAGATAGGACTATTAAAATTGACAATGTAAAGCCAAAAGACATAAAAATTCTGATTATATCCTATGAAATAATACAAGAAACTAGAGAATTATGTTAACTTCTCATTTCAACATACGAGCAGAAGAGATTCTCAAGTGACACAAATTTAAAACCAAAGTATTTGGTAAATACATATCTTTACTATAAGCTGAAAACTCAGATATATTAAGTATACTGTTATATTTAACCACACCTTTTATGCCTTCTTCTGTCTTTCCCCTAAAATTCCCACTTTCCAGTTCACCTGGTGACAGAATCACCAACTCTACACCTTTGCTTGAGCAACCTATGTTTAAATGATTCTACTCGCACTGAATACCAATCTTTCTGACTTTTCAGGTAGAATATTATGCCGCAGACTCTAGTAGCACTAATTTATTTTGTTTGCAGTGTATCTAATCAATTCCTTCCTTTCTTTTAGCAAAAAAAATCCCGTTTTAACAAAGCAAAGAGCTCAATCATACCATACATAAAAATAAAAATGTGGGTTAAGGAGTAAACATAGGGAAAAATAATAAAAGCAGTAAAAATAAATATAAGAGCATATCTTGGGACAGGGAGAGCAAGACAAAACCCTCAGCTTTAGAAGGAAAAGCCGGATAGTTGGATAAAACAATAAAACCTTCCACAAGGTAAGACACCGTTAAGACAAACTGTGGGAAAGTATTTAGAACATATAATACATATGTCATTAATATAGATAAGTGGCTCATAAATCAGCAAAAATTAAGAAAAAGCAAATTCACAGCAAAACCATCAATGAACACATATAAAGATTTGTAACATAAACATGTAACATGTAATGATCAGAGAAATGCAAATTCAATTGGGATTTTGTCATATACTGTCAAAGATCAAAAAATTTGATCATTCCTACTGTTAGCAAAAGTAAACAGGCAACTCGGGGCACAAGGTTTCAGATCATTGCAGAAGGGAGCCATTTGGCAACTAACTCAATCAGGTTTCCATCCTCTAATGATGAAAGGAGAGACTGGTCACAGCCAGGATGATTCTCTTTAGATCTCTGCTCATTTCTTATTGTCCATCACTCTCCAAATGACCAATCCCCAAACAAGTCAACCGTCAAGAAAACCATATTAGCTATGGTGAAGTCACTGTAATTGTTTTTTATTCTCTAGTCTCCAAACAGATCATACCAAATAACCCATTTTATTGGCCAATTCCTTAAACAGTGGCGCTGGGGTGGGATTTTAGAACTAAACTCATTCAGATGGGGCTATCAACTAAAAAACAACATAAGCTACTCATTTATTCAACACATCTTCAAGGCTACACTCAAGTTTATGGTTGAAGCAGTTGTTCTGCCCTTAACTTTTACCTGGAAATTAATTCATCCATATTATGTAGTACAGAAAGCTTGACTTTCAATCAAGTACTTAAGTAGGCTCAACTTCATGGTAAGGAGAACGAGTGGCCCTCCTTACAGGCATATTTGCGGCTAGCTCATGCCTATGCAGAAAAAGAAGCTAACTGTCTACTTTCTGTAAAGCATCAGCAGGACACCCTCCCCCGCTCCTCCGGGATGGGCCTCTTGTCCCAATATTCAGCTGTGAATGTTGTGATACTTAGCCCTTGCTAATAGTTAAGAGTCTTCTTATGGACATACTGAATATCTCTTCCCTGGATTGTCCACCCATGTTGTTAGATCACTATTAAGGAATGAGATGTTTAATGCCAAGACTGTTTGCTAGAAGGTTGTTAACAGTGTCTTCAACTGTGGCAACAGTGGTTTTATAAATGTTCAAATGAACATTTATTATCCAAGAGTAAGCTTCTAAGAACCGTATGTTTTTTTGTTTTTTGTTTTTAATTATTTAGAACTTATTACTCAGTGCATTTCCCCATTGGCACTGATATTAGAAAACTCAAAACTCAACTGAGTGACTGATATATTAGTCACTGTACCTGTTAACAGTGCTCATTTTCTGCCCCTTTTAAACCAGCTTTATACTGTTTTGTGTTGTGTGTAATACCACAAACTGCCTCAAATTCTTTGAGAAATAGGCAGGTTATTATGTATTATTAAATTCAAAAATGTTTCCCATCCATCTTTGTGGCACCCCTTTAACACCAGATACCATGTAAGACAGGAACATCAACTTCCTAGGATGTTATTTACTCACTACTCTGCTGCTAACTCAGCCTCGGGGTTGACTTTACCTTCTCTTACTCGAAGCTGCTTGAGTCCAGCAGGACCTGGCCTGAAGGCCCCCTACCCAGGGAGCTCAGTTATGACAGGAAGCCTTTAAATTAGCAACTGCTAGTCACTCATTTTCCCTTTAGGTCAGAGACAGGGAAAGATGGCTTCAGCCATATATCAGTCCTTCCCCAACAAAAGTGATAGGCACAGTGTCTGAATGTGGAAAATAGAACAACTTATTGCTACTTTGGAGTTCTTCCTATTTTTTCCTTTTTTTTTACTGTATACTTTTTAAAATTTTTTATTACAAATTAAAAAAAAAATTTTTTTTTAACTTTATTTTTTACAGAATTCTTTTTCATAGTGAAGATTCACTGCTTTATCTGGAGGGTTTTGAAAATTCTCAAAAACAAATTTAAAATAATAAAAATACATTAGACTCAAATCCATTCCACTAGTAGAATAATAGCTAATTGTGTTAACCATGGTATATACACAGTATCAACATTAAAAACAAACAGCTTAGTGGCATTAAGAACATAATTTTATCAGCATACCTTCAGTTCATTAAATGAATTGTGTTCTTCAAAATATTTCTTTTTTCTCTCAACATATTGATCAATGGACTCCATTTCCTTAAAACGAGCCTCATGAAGCTTCTTAAAATCTAGAATATTTCCCCAAATATGACAATTAACAACAAGACAAAATCCATTTATTCACCTTCCCTATGTTTTTCTGTTAACACTTATTCTTATCTTGGCATCCCTGACATTCAACTTCAGCATCATCTTTGCTAAAATTTTAATTTCAAAACATTTAGGTTTTAGAAAGTCAGGGGCAAAGAATATTCACCTTATAAACTATCAAACACTGACCATCTATCTCTCCATTGTCCATTTCACTGCTGACTAACATCTTCGTTTAGTCCAGAGGATAAGATTAACAGATTTGTCCTCTCCCCTCACCAATTAATTAATGGCCTTTACTTAATCATAAATTTGACATTTAATAATGCTAAGAAAGCTCTATGCAAAGGATTGGCAAACTTTCTGTAAACGGGCAGACAGTAAATATTTTAGGCTTGGCGGTCACATACACTGTGGTCTCTGTCTCATATTCTTTTTTTTTTTTTTTTTTCCCTTTTTTGCGGTACGCGGGCCTCTCACTATTGTGGCCTCTCCCGCTGCAGAGCACAGGCTCCGGACGCGCAGGCTCAGCGGCCATGGCTCACGGGCCCAGCCGCTCCGTGGCATGTGGGATCCTCCTGGACCGGGGCATGAACCCATGTTCCCTGCATCGGCAGGCGGACTCCCAACCACTGCGCCACCAGGGAAGCCCTCATATTCTTTTATACAACCCTTTACAAATGTAGAAACCATTCTTAGCTCAAGGGCTATAAGACATGCCAAGATGGGCAATAGTTTGTTGACTCCTGCTCTGTACTATTCTAACTAATTATATTCTTATTAAGTATAATTGTTAGAATTTCTCAAATATACTAAGCAGCATTTTAAGTACTCTAAATACATAGCATAATCAATGTTCTATGTGCCAGGCAATAGAGAAAGAGAATTACATGTCCAGAAATGGAGTCCCTTAGACTTATTACTAAAAATAATAAGTTTTTACAAGGTAGACATTGTGCCAAGTACTTGATAAACATTAATTCTCAGATATTTCTTGAATACTTGCTACAGGCTAGCTGCCCTGCTAGGTAATCAGAAGTGGAAAACAGTCTTAATTAATCCATATATTAACCTGATGAAATAGGTAGTTTAATTATTCCCACTTTAAACTGAGGACGTGGGTTTACTGGGGATAAATAAGTTTCCCAAGGTCTCACAGGTAGAAAATGAGGGAACGAGGGCGCAAACCCCAATGCCAGTGTCTGAGCCTTCGGCTGTCACAGTGCACTGCCTCTCCAGTGTCAGCCTGAAGGGGGCCAACCACCATTTTATGTTTCTTTGTGCGCAAAACTTACTTGGAGTAGTGCTTGCAGTTCTTTTATTTTTTCCAGGTTTGGAAAACCCATCTGTATAGAGAGACTTCTTTCTTTCTGAAGGTATCTTTGGACCTTCATTACCTGAATCCAAGGATACAGAACTAATGAAATATTTCCAAAAATTATTCCCATTAAGAAATGTAAGTTAACATGGAGCATATTCATGTGATAGGCCTCTGCCAAGGTATGGGAGAGATGGCACAAGGAGCACAAAGCATTACTTACAGCATCACCACAATTTTAGCTCGTATTTCAAGTAGACAGAAATTTTATGCTTCTTGTATAGATGTTTTTAAATTTCTGTATGTTTATAAAACTCTTTTCCAGAACTTTTGCTATGAACATGTCTAACTGTTTTAACAAGGATGATAAAAGTCACACAATCCCACCAGCCTAAGAAACACTATTATCATTTTGGCTATTATTATATTTATTATATTTTCTCAGGTCCTTTGCTTCTATACTTGTTTTGCTTTTGTTCTTTAAATCCAGTTAAAGCCATCATGTATATAAGGGTTGCTATTTCTCCCTACTTATCTCCCACATTCCAGTATCTTTTTTAGCTTAAGGCAATCTACTAAAAACTGTGCAAGTGGGTTTTCAAGAAATGCTACTTATAAAGTCACTCATCCTTAAGGTTTCCCAATGCATCCATAAAACAAGGCAAAAGAATGACTGGATAGAGCAGAGGGGTTATAGGGCTTTTGCTTGGACCTTGGCCATGAAACAGGGTATTTAAAGAGTCACAGTCATTCCTCACAAGATACTTATTGCAAATGGAAATATAATAACTATTACAAAGGAGCAACCTAGCAGACACCACCAAAACCAGGTGATGCAAGCTGACAAGACTAGTCATAGGACAAACGAACATCTGAGCCCTCTGGGGTGCTGAATGAGGAGGACACAGCCCTAGTTTGTGGGATTCCTGCCAATAGTGCATGATCTGAATCTAACCATCAGAACATTAGACAAACCAAGTCAGAGGACCCAAGAAACTGGCCTGTATTTAAAAAAGGTCAATGCGCTAGAAGACAAAGGAAGGCTGAGGAACTGTTCCAAATTAAAGTAGCTTAAAGAGACATGTCAGGACTTCCCTGGTGGTGCAGTGGTTAAGAATCTGCCTGCCAATGCAGGAGACACGGGTTCGAGCCCTGGTCCAGGAAGATCCCACATGCCGCGGAGCAACTAAGCCCATGCGCCACAACTACTAAGCCTGCGCTCTAGAGCCCGTGAGCCACAACTACTGAGCCCGTGTGCCACAACTACTGAAGCCCATGCACCTAGAGCCTGTGCTCCTCAACGAGAAGCAACCACAATGAGAAGTCTGTGCACGGCAACAAAGAGTAGCCCCCGGTCGCCGCAACTAGATAAAGCCCACGTGCAGCAACGAAGACCCCACGCAGCCAAAAATAAAAAAATGTATAAATAAATAAATTTATTCAAAAAAGAGAGACATGGCAATGAAATGCAAAGGATGAGTCGAGATTTGCCTTTGATTTTTTTTTTTTTTTTTTTTTTTTTGCGGCCCGCGGGCCTCTCACTGCTGTGGCCTCTCCCGTTGCGGAACACAGGCTCCAGACGCGCAGGCTCAGCGGCCATGGCTCACGGGCCCAGCCACTCCGCGACATGTGGGATCCTCCCGAACTGGAGCATGAACCTGGTCCCCTGATTCAGCAGGCAGACTCCCAATCACTGCGCCACCAGGGAAGCCCTTGCCTTTGTTTTAAGGGACATTGCTGGGATGAAATCTAGATAAGGTCTGTCTACAGGTTAGTTAGCAGGTCTCACACTTTCTAGCCTCAGGATCCCTTTGTACTCTCAAAAATTACTGAGGACCCCAAAGAATTTTTGTTCATATACGTATATCAATATGTGCCATATTAGATATTAAAACTCAGACATTAAAAAATAATTGATTCACTAAAAATATACCCACTATACGTTAACATAAATAATTTATGAAAAATGGCTAAAATATCTAAATCAAAAAAGTGAGTAGAGCGTTTTTTGTTTTTGTATTTTTACAATTTCTTTAACATATGACAATAAAAGGCAGCTGGATTCTCTTTTCTTCTGTATACATATGTTGTGATATATTGTTTTGATTGAAGTAATATATGAAAACAAATTTTGTCATATACAGCTATGTGGTTGAAAGTGAAGAGTATTTTAATAGCCTTTTCAGATAATTGTGGATATTCTTCTTTGATACTATACCAAACCTTGACAAGTGGTTGTTTCTCAGAGGTTAGTTGTAATGTGGAATATGAAGAAGCCCTATCTGCTCTCTGTACATTTGTGAGAAAAAGTCCTGATGTTTTAAGAAACACAAATATTTAGGGGTAAAGGGGCACATATCTGAAACACTCTCAAACAGTTCAAGAAAAAAATGTATATAACACATATACGTACATAGATATGTATATAAATATAAATAGAGAGGAGGATAAAGCAAATACAGCAAAATATTAACATTTGAGAAATCTAAGTGAACGATATATAGGAACTCTTGGTACTATACTTACAACTTTAAGTCTGGAATTATGTCAAAGTTTAAAAAATTCCTCTCACCAGAAACTGCATGATCAGATTTTTCTCCTTCAAACAGCCTGTGTGCTTCATTGGGCAAACCTGACTTAAAGGGTCCACACTCATTTTTCCCATGCCTTCAAAACTGGGTCCTAGAGGTAAGTCTTCTTGACAACATGATTGGTGGAATAATAGATATTTTAAATTCCACCCCCACTTCTGACTCTGTCATATTTCTTTACATTCCCCTCCTCTCAGGATTTCAAAATGGGTTTATGAGGCATATGCATCAACATTACCTGGGGTACTTATTAAATCTGCAGAATTCCAGGCTCACCTCAGACCTACAAATCAGAACATCTACCTTCTTTAACTTTCTAGATTTAGTAAGACATTCAAAATTCTGGGGAAACTGGGAGGGCTCAGCATTAGAAATTCTGCATTTAACTGCTTGGTGGACATGAGTGGATCATCTTCTCTCCCAATCCCCTCAGGCAAGCCTCAGGTCCCAGATAGATGTGCTGGGGGAAATGAACAGAGACACTGTTGCAACTGGCAGGCTTCCTGAGGGATGAAATCAGAAAGCACCAAGTCCTGTTAGGCATAGGGGAACTGAAGTTTTCTGGCCTTATTGAAACAAATTTTTAGTTGAGAAAGTTTAGGGAAGAGGTTTTTAGGAGGTTAGAGACTAAGTAAAATATACATTTATCATAATAAAATGGCCACACACTGCAGATGCTTTTTTTTTTTTTTGTAGTACGCGGGCCTCTCACTGTTGTGAAGCACAGGCTCCAAGGCCATGGCTCACGGGCCCAGCCTCTCTGCGGCATGTGGGATCTTCCCAGACCGGGGCAAGAACCCGCGTCCCCTGCATAGGCAGGCAGACTCTCAACCATTGCGCCACCAGGGAAGCCCTGCAGATCCTTTTTAACTGTCCTACTTGAAGGGGCTAATAGGTCTTTGTACCTGTCTCTGGAGCAGGCCAGAAGGAGCTAATTGGCAGAATGAGCCAGGCTCTCTCCTCATCCTGCCTTAAGATCAACTGCCTTAAACTTTCCAGATACTACTCATATTCTGCTTTCTACACAGTTATTAAAGGTGACCTGATGGCCTACTGTATTTGGTTTTAACTTTTGCTTTCATTGCTGAACCCTTAGAAATTCTACATAATGGTGTTACGGGTTGAACTGTTTCCCCAAAAGGGATATGCTGAATGAAGTCTTAACATTTAATAATTGTGATCTGACCTTATTTGGAAAGGGTCTTTGTAGACATAATCAACTTAAACCAAGGTCATTAGGATGGACCTAATCCAATATAACTGGTGTCCTTTTAAGAAAACGATGTAAAGAAAAAGACACACAGGAACTTCTCTGGTGGTCCAGTGGTTAAGAATCTGCCTTCTAATGCAGGGGACTCGGGTTTGATCCCTGCTCAGGGAACTAAGATCCCATATGCCGTGGGGCAACTAAGCCCGTGTGCTGCAACTACTGAGCCCATGAGCTCTAGAGCACGCATACCACAACTAGAGAGCCCGTGTGCCACAACTAGAGAGCCCACACACCACAACTAGAGAGAAGCCTGCACGCCACAACAAAGATCCCACGTGCTGCAACTAAGACTGGACACAGCCAAATAAATAGGGACTTCCCTGGTGGTGAAGTGGTTAATAACCTGCCTGCCAATGCAGGGGACACGGGTTCGAGCCCTGGTCTGGGAAGATTCCACATGCTGCGGAGCAACTAAGCCTGTGTGCCACAACTACTGAGCCTCTGCTCTAGAACCCACGAGCCATAACTACTGAGCCCACATGCCAGAACAACTGAGGCCCATGGGCCTAGAGCCATGCTCCACAGCAAGATAAGCCACTGTAATGAGAAGCACGCACACCCCAAGAAGAGTAGCCTCCGCTCACTGCAACAAAGACCCAATGCAGCCATAAATAAATGAATGAATGAATGAATGAATATTTTTTAAAAAAAGAAAGAAAGAAAAAGACACAGAGAGACTGCCACATGATGAGAAGGCAGAGATTTAGCTGCAAGCCCAGGTCTACAGCCACCACCGAAGGTACAAAGGGGCCAGGAAAGATTCTCCCCAGAATCTTGGAGGAAGATGGCCCTACTGACACCCTGATTTTAGACTCCAGCCTCCAGAACTGTGAGAGAATAAATTTGTTTTTGTTTTTTTTGGCCGCACCATGCGGCTTTCAGGATTTTAGTTCCCTGACCAGGGACTGAACTCGTGTCCCAGCAGTGAAAGTGCTGAGTCCTAACCACTGGACTGCCAGGGAATTCCCAAATTTCTGTTGTTTTAAGTTGCCCAGTTTATGGCACTTTGTTATGGCAGTCCTAGGAAACTAATGCACATGGTTACCCTAGCAATTTTGTATTTTTAAAAAGTTACTTGGCATACCATTTTTTTTTTTTTTTTTTTTTTTTCCCTTCCCCCCCCCCTCAAGTCCATTCTCTAGTAAGTCTGTGTCTTTATTCCTGTTTCACCCCCTAGGTTCTTCATGACATTTTTTGTCATGAAGAATGTCTTCAGACATTTTTTTTCTTAAATTCCATATACATGTGTTAGCATACGGTATTTGTCTCTCTCTTTCTGACTTACTTCACTCTGTATGACAGACTCTAGATCTATCCACCTCATTACAAATAGTTGTTAGCATACTTTGTCTCTCTCTTTCTGACTTACTTCACTCTGTATGACAGACTCTAGATCTATCCACCTCATTACAAATAGTTCAATTTCGTTTCTTTTTATGGCTGATTGGCATACCATTTATTCCACTTTTTCCTGAGGGCACTGCATTCTCATCTTGACTCTTGTTTGGTAGAGAAGGAGCTTCTACAGCAGTTCTGAGAGCCTGGTTTTCATGCTTTTCTTGATTCTGGAATTCAGTAGGATCACATACTTTTATCTCTGAATGATCCTGCTACAAATTTTAAAAGAAAATAAATGATTTCAATAACAAATAAGGAGGAATCACACTTGAAAATTGCTAAGAGTAGATCTGAAAAGTTCTCATCACAAGAAAAAAAACTGTAACTACGAGAGTTGTTAACTAGACTTATTGTATATATATTGTGAAATGATCGCCACAAATATTGAATCATTACATTATACACCTGAAACTGACAGGATGTTACATGTGAATTATATCTCAATTTAAAAACATATCATCAAAAACATTGCTTATAGTCAGACATAAAGAAAAAAGTAATCACTGCCTTCCAAAGATAGGTACCAAATTGAGGAGGAAAATGAATTAAAGAAAGAAAAGTAAGAGACTAAGCTTTTTTGAGTGGCAGATTTGGTTCTCTGCCTCACCAAATGTCATGAGAACATGCATCTGGGAATAGTAGAGACTAGGGACCACTGGAAGGCATACAAGGCAGAGGTTGCTCTCCTAGGGAGGAGAAACTAACTAGACAAGCTAATGACTAAGGGACTACACAAAGCTAGAAAATAAAAATTAGGACCATCTTGTAAAAGTTACATTTGAATGAAAGGATAATAAAATCAGAGTCCTCTCAGAGCAAGTGGGAGAAGCCCCCAGAATCACGTGACCACACTGTTCAAAGACTAAGCTCAGCTGATCACCAGGCCCGGGACAAGATAGGAAGGAGGAAAAAAAAAAATCATATTTGATGTTGGTATCTCTTTCCTTCTTACTTACTACACCTCACTTAAGTAAACACTCAATAAATGTTCATATTATTCAAAACACATTTAATTTGTGCTTAATACTTACTAAGTGCTTCCCGAGTGCCAGTGCCCAGGGTGTGATGAGGCCAGACTCGGGTTTGCGCTTTCATGGAGCTCACAGCAGTATTTGCCACCACCCGATATCATAAGGGAATTATGAGAAGCCTCCCTAATAATATACCAGTTTGGGCACAGGTGGTAGCTTATTTTTAGTTTGCACATTTCTATTCACCTGGGAGTCAGGGCTCCTGTAGACAGTCCTGCGCCTTCTCCTTGTTTTGGTGACATGGCCAACTGGCTCCCTCTCAGCTTGCTCCTGGCTGCTGAGTTGTACCTCAATTTCATCACAAGAAGATGCAGAAGTTTGAATTTCATCCTGAAAAAGAGAGACATTAATCTGCCATGTCCAATGTATACAGTTACAATGCTCAGGAAGAATCAGAATTTAAACTGAATAAAAGATATGTATTACATATGCAAGAGATAATTTTAAAACCCTCCAGCACTAAATTATAGGCAAGGACAAGAATAATAGAGTATTCAGAAAGAAACACTTAACAACCCAAGCTAAAAAACTAGGCTTGCAAAGCATTCAAAGGTATCTTAGTGTGCATAAATAAGCCAATTATTTTTTTGGGGGGGCCACACCACATGGTTTGTGGGATCTTAGTTCCCTGAACAGGTATTGAACCCAGGCCCATGGCAGTGAAAGTGCCAAGGAATTCCCACAAATTATTAAAAGTATGTTAATTTACTGATTATACACTATATGCTAGGCAGTATGCTATACCTAATAACAATTACAGCTAATATCATAACTGCACTGGGCTAAGTATTCTCATGGATTACCTCATTTATTCCCCAAAGCCTATGAGACAAGTATTAACATTATCTGCAGTTCACAGGTAGGGAAACTGAGGCTTAGAGAGCCCAAAGTAACTTGTTAAAGGTCAACATAAGGGAGTAAGGGAAGAAGGGCATGTGCACTATCATAAACTAGAAGAGCTTTGTCATCAAAACAGCATGGCACAGGTACCAGAATGTCCTGAACAGAATTGCTTCCAGAAGAAATCATCGTATGACAATGGTTGAACCTCACATTAGTGGGGGATGGTTGGATTCATTATTCAACACATGATGCAGAGAAAACATTGACTGTTTTTGGTGAGGGGGTGGGCAATGAAACTTGATCATTTTCTCACACCAAAATGAAATCTGGATGGATTAAAGATTTAAATGTAAAATATGAAACTATAAAAGCACTAGGGAAAAATAGGTGAATTATATCCTCATCAAGTGTGAGGAAGGCATTAAGCATGTTATCCTACCTAGAGACGATTAAGGAGAGGCTTGACTTGTTTTTGTAGCTTTTTAAACGTAAATTCTAATTTTTTGAAATAAACTAATACATACATATAGTTAAAATAATAAAATACTAAAGAGAGTATAATGAAAAGTAAGTCATTCTCTGCCCTACCCTTCTTATTTCTAGGGTTTGATGTTAAGTGGTTACTTACATATCACTAATGATTTGCTGATGGATATTCATTTGTATTTTCAGTAACTATTTTCAGTGCCTCATGTACTAAGATTTACTTCATTTGTACCACTCTCATCTCCCCATCTTTTTCCTAATAGACTTATGCCACTTACTCACTCTATTACCTTTGCAGCTTTAAACATACTTAAACCTTTATTTCTTGTTCCATGACTGCAGACACATCCTGTAAACTGCAGATATTAGCATCCTTATACTTTCCTTCACCTCCTGTCCTTATCTCAACTTCTGTCATCTATTCTTTAAGTTGTTAACATTTATAGCTTATTATGTAACCTTAATTGAATCATCTGTGTAGCTTGATTCCAGGAGTTGATAATTCAATAGGTTATTGTAAGACATTTTTCAAAGCTTTCATTTGTTTTCTGTATCATGTTTCCTTTAGGGTCATCTTCTTCCTTACAGAGAAACCTTCCAGCATTTTAGATGGTAGTAGACACCTGGTACTCTGCACGTGGAAGTAGGGGGTAAGAGGGCTTTGCATCCTGACTTTTCAGTCCATTTCAGTATGGTGACTGGACCCCACCCTCTGAGAGTTAATTTAGTTGCCTGGGATTTGGCGAGGCCTAAATATCAGTGTTTTTAAAAAGCTCCACAAATGATTCTCCCACACATCCTGGGTTGAGAACCACAATATAAAATAAATGTTTTGGTTGTAAAAGAATAAGGAGGCTTAAAAAATGGAAGGTTTTTAGATGGAAGTGAAGTATTACAGAAGAATAATAGTTCTAAGTGATCTAAGATCCAAGGTATACCCAAAGAAGGGGATGGCTAATGAACAGTGGAAAAGAAACTCACAGGACTTAAGGAACAGGGAGGCAAGGGTAGTAAGGGACATCCAGGTGGACCTTTGAATTCACCCAAAGTAAGGTCAGGACAGGAGATGATGAGCCAGGCAATGAGACAGTGAACACTGGAAAGCAATGAGGAAGTCAACAGATGAGAGATGAGAATTGGTGAGTCTGAACTCAAAGGAGCAGGGATATTTATGTAAGAGTAGAAAGACGCTATCTGAATCCTACTTGCCAACTCCCTGGATAGCCATGAAGAAGAAAAGAGGAAAAAGAAACTGTTCTCACTACAGAAGTGTAACCCTCAGGTTACACATATTGCTGGAGTATAGACACACTTTACAAGTACTTATTGCTCCCCTACCCCCATTAACACAGTACAGAAGAGGTTCTATAACTGGTTTAGAAACCTATTAACATGACTCCCAGAGATGTCTTGTTTTTAACCCCACACACCTTAACGAGGGTATGTTAGTTTGGGAGGCCAGCAGTGATCAGGTAGCATATGTTCATTCCTGAACACACCATGATGTAACTGTAAAGACTTGTATAAGCCCAGGACTGAAGTGGCACAGCTGGTTCTGAGAGTCCCCAGCACACAGTCAGACTAACCTACATACAGAGCTGCTCCAACTCATATAGTTAAGGCTAATCTACAGAGGGAGAACAAGGCATCCAGAAGGTCATGCTCACTTAGATGTGACCCACACCTGTACACTTCCCTAGGTGACGATTTGGAGGTCTGGAAGCTTACCCATCTGTTTGTCCTTGGTAATATTACTGATCTCTTTGCCATGTATTTGGACTGTGCTGACTCCTACAGCTTTAGATAAACTCTTTGTCTATGTCAGTTCTTTCCACCAACCTAAGCTCACTATTGACAGATTCACCACTTAGGAATTCTATAGCTGACCAAATTTTGATTATCATCCTGCTCTTGTGAAAATTTTTCAAAATGGAATGGCTCTTGAGATGCTGAATTTGAAACATGATAGATCATTTTAAATTTAGCCCATCAATTACCACCCAAAGTAAAATCCTGATTTCAGATGGCACTACGATATGTATCCTTAACCATGAAAAAATTAATTAAAATATCTATATTGATTTAGTTGATATAGAAACTTAAAGGAATCCAAAATCAATTTTGTTGTCTATTTTATATTAATTAAGCCTGGAATCAAAAAGAATTTTGAACATTTAAAGTTTTTAAATGTTTATAACCTGGAATACAAAGAATTACAGAGTCTATAAAGACAGAGAGAAGGAATCAGATGCTCAGTTCATGTTTATATTTACCTTCATTTCAAGATATATAATGGATGCCCTCCAAAGCCCAGTTCCTTAAGGCCTTTCAACATTTTCCTGTATTTCAAGTTAAGAATGAAGCATTCATTGATCATTTAGGTGTTGAGCCTTGTCAGAACTCTTTGGGGTGGGTCTGAAGCAGCCATGACAACTGCTCCCTCCCATCAGCAGTGGTTTAGTTTCCCACAAGTCACTTCCACAGTCCCTACTTCACGTGATTCTCACAACCCTCAATTCAGCAGAAAAGATGTTATTTCCATTTCAAAGACCAGGAAACTAAGAATAAATGATTTGAGTTTTCCAAGGTTACACATACAAAAAAGACAGAGCTGCTACTTAACTGGGTTTTTCTGACCTCAAATCCAGTTCCCCTCCCTATTCACACCATTTGGCATACATGTGGCAACTAGTAATTAATCTTTGCCTTTGTATGAGAACATCTTATTCAATAGATTACAGAGGCAGCTTTGTCATTTATAAGAATTATGAAAGGATTTACAATTACCAATGACAATCTCTTTGGTAACAAACAGCATGTCTTAAGTCATCACCAACTGTGTTTATCATTCATTAACTGATTGTTTTGCTATTTAATAGGTGATGAAAATGTTACTTACCTGATTCTCATTTTCTTTTCTTGCTTCATTTTTAAGATGGGCTTTTAAGGCTCTTAACAACTTGTCTGCCTGCAGAAAAGTTTAAAGACCTTATCAGTAGAGCCAAAAATCAAAAAAGCACAAAAGATTTGAACATTTTCTCCTGTTCTTGTACTCATCAAATATCATCCGGGCAGGCTGGGAGTAGGGTAACCAAGATAGAAGGGGTCCCTGTCCGCACAGATTTCACGGCAGAAGCCAGAGAGGAAAGTGGCAATTACAGCGCAGTGGGCTAAATGCCTACATGAGGAAGCTCAGGTGTCATGTGAGAACACAGGTGGGCTGGGCCACCAAAGCCTGGACCGCTAGGGTAGACTTCAGTAGGTAAGTGGACATGCCAGTCCTAAGACAAAGATGTGAGGTCACTAGCTGCTGAGGCTGAAGGACAAATAGGAGAGAGTGGGACATAGGGAAAAGGGTAAAGAAATAGCATGGGAAGGTAAGAATGTGTGGAGTTTGAAGAACTAAAGTTCAGTGTGGGCTGAAGCAGGGAGCTGTTGGAGGGGATGGTAAGAGAGAATGTTGGGAAAGTGGGCCTGATCCTGCCAGGCTTACTAAGCCTCTAAGAGTATGAACTTTACCCTCGGGGCAAAGGCAGTCTGCAGAGCTTGCAGCAGGGCAGTGGGTGACCAGTTTTGCATTACTCGGGATGATTACTCTGGCTGTATAATGTGCAGAATGCATTTGGTGAGGGCAAGATGGAAGACAGGGCAAGGGCCAGGAGGCTGTTGTAGGAAGCCAGAGACGACTTCGGCCTGAGCTAGAATGGGACTGAGGCCACACGGATGAATTAAAAACTTTCCTAGGAAGTAGAATCAGTGTGAATGTGAGGGTTGAGGAACAGGGAAATTTATCACGCCTAGGTTTCTGGCTTGGGCAGCTGGTGAAGCACGTGTGGAGGCGTGGAGGGTCCTAAGATGGGGAAGGCCAAAGGCACCACCTTAGCAGGATGGCTACAGGTCCCCGGGGGAAGGGAACTCCTAGCTCCTCCTCCACCACAGGAGAACTTCCCTTCCTGTTCTTTCCTGAAAGAATACTAATCTGATGGGTTATGTTTTCCTGTGCTTTCAAAGCTCAAGCACATGGCTGGGTTCTCATTCCCTCCTCTTCCACCAGCCATACAGTTGAGAGCTAGAGAGTTTCTTCTCAAGGGGGGTCCAGCCACCAGGTTTGTCTCTTCTCTGCTTCTACCATTTACCATCAGCCATATGTTCAGGTGAGAATGGCAGAGATCCCGATTTGGTTTGGGCTTCAGGGCACAGGAGATGCTGTGCTCAGGCTGTGAGTTTTACCAGAACACTGTGCATCAAGATATCAGGCACCACACCGGCTAGTAGTAATAAAGGAGAGACCTATTTTCTACTTGCTGTTGTTTCTTGAACCTATCTTCGGGTCTTCTCTGGGAAGTGAATGATTGGCAGGGCAGAATTTAGGCATTCTTGGTTCTTCTTTTTTTCTCTCTCAATCACTTTACAGAGGTATGATTGACATACAAACAGCTGTCGATATTTAATACATATAAATTGATATGCTGGGAGATCAATATACACTTGTGAACCCATCATCACTGCCTTAAATGTATCACCTCCAAGTTTCCTACTGCCCCCTTTGGATCTTTTTTGGTGCTAAGAGCCTTTAACATAAGATCTAACCTCTTAGCAAATTTTAAAGTATTGTTAATCATAGGCTCTATGTTGTACAGATTTCTAGAACATCTTAAAATGCCATGAAAACCTCAAATATGCAACAGTGATGAAATGAAGGGCCTGTGGCAGAGCCAGGTGAGGGCATACAGCAGGAGGAATGATGGGGGGTGATGTTTGGGGGAGCTGAGCTGGAGGTGCCGATGTTAGCATCAGCACATTTTTACGCACTACCTCAACAAGCATTTATTGTGCTGGACGCTGTTCCAGGTACTGGAGAGACAGTGGTGAGCAAAACAGACAAGGTCTTTGCCCTCCAGGAACCTCTAAAGGTAGGCTAAAGGTAGGAAACACCCTATTAACCAAGTAAGCAAAAATAAATGGTATGACATTAGGTGCTGGGAAGCAAAAACAAAACTGGAGGCTCAGGGTAGAGGCAGGGGAGGACAACCTGCGTTAGGATGGTCAGGAAAGGCCTCTCAGAGTTGGTGACTTCTGAGCTGAGATGTGAATGAGGCAGTAGGTGAAGATGCAGGGGAAGAGCATTCCCAGCAGAGGGAACACAAAGCCCAGAGATGGGCTGGTGAATTTGAAGGACAGAGAGAAGCCAGTGTGGGGAGCACAGTGAACACTGGGGTAAGCGGAGGGCAGGGAGACCAAAGAGGTGACCTGGGTCAAGAAGAAGGTTACCGGCCACGCACGGTGTAGATTTCTTCCTTCTAACTAAAATTTTTTATAAAAATGTCGAGTCTATAGAAAAGTCAAAATAGTCTAGTAAACACTGATACTCCTCACGTAGATTCAGCAACCCTTGATATTGTCTCATATTTGCTTTCTTTCTCATTCTTATGTATTTCTTACCAAGCTGGTTGAAAATAAGTTCCAGACATCATCATACTTTACCACTAAATACATCAGCCACATCTCCTAAAAATAAGGGGATGTTTTCCTACATAACCTCTAATGCATTACCTAGGGAAAGGAATAATTTTCTAATATCCTCTGATACACAGCCTAAAATCAAATTTCCTCAACTGTCTCCAGTTTTAGCTTAAAAAAAATTTTTTTCCCTCCAAATCAGGATCAACCCAAGATTCTCACATTACATTTGGAGAAGTTTGGATTTTATTTTAGGTGTGAGGAAAATTTGACGAGAACTGAGCAGAAAAATGACATATTCTAAGTTTCAACTATCACCCAACTACCAAGAGAATACTATTTTAAGGCAAGAGTAGAGGCAGGGAGACCAGCAGACAGCCTGAAGCAGTGGTCAAGAAAGGAGGGTGTCATGGCCCAGGTTTACAGCACTGGAGATGGCACACAGGCCAGATTTCAGGTGTATTGATACTTGGGAGGAAAAGCTCACCAGGATGGATGGGTGTGGGCAGTGAAGGGAGGAATCAATCATTTACCGACATGGGGAATAGATCTTCATTGTTTTGACCTGATCATGCTGTTTACGATGCACTTAAATGCACAAGTCAGCAGATGAGAGGTCTTACTGAAGGTTTGGATTTGGGCGTCATTCGTTCCAGGTGAATCTAAAGTTCTGAGAATGAATAAGATCACCAAGTGAGAAGCACAATTAGAGAAAAGAAGGCCCAAGAGAGAACCCTGGGATACGCCACATTTAGAGATTTAGCAGAGGAAGAACTAGCAAAGGAGACTGGAAAGAAGTGCTAGCAAGGCAGGAGAAAACCAGATATCAAAGAAGTCTAGAAAAGGAAGTGTTCTGAGCAGAAGGGAGGGTTCAATCACGCCAAATGCTGCTGATGGGCAGGTGAAGATAGATAGAGATGGACCACAAGCTTTGCAAGGTGCAGGGCATGGTGGCCTCAAAAACATCAATTTCAGTAGAAAAGAACAGAGAAATTGGGCAGTAGATAAAAGACGTGGGTCAGGAGAGGGGTTTTGTTTCTTTTTTAAAAGATGGATGACATTAAGATTTGATTGGGCGTATTATGGAAATGAGCCAGCAGAGTGAGGGAAACTGATGCAGCGGAGAGGAATACCTGCAGGAGTTTAGACCCAGAGGGGGGAATGGGATCTCCAGCACAAACAGCAAGGCTGCCCTTAGGCACAGCCTTTTACCATAACATATAACAGGTGGAAGGCAAAGGATACGGGGACAGGTGGGTCTGGTAATGGAAAGATGAGGTAATTCTCAGCTTAATTGCATCTATGTTTCCATGACCTATGCGGCAAAGTCATCAGGTGATGGAAGGGCACCAATCTAAGGTGAGAAGATATAAAATAACTGTCCTCGATAATGGGAAAATTAATGACTACCAAGGAAGTGTAGGAGAATCAAATAAATCATAAATTAAATTTATGGTCACATTTAAATTAAGTTCAGTCAACAAAGTTAGAGGATTTTCTCCAGCCAGGGTCAGCTGGTTAGTACAGGCAAGGATTAAGCACATAGCTTGTTTAATCAGGTGTGGAGTTTTGCCAGGTGAGGGAAGGGAGCTGCAAGAAGGTAGAAATAGTGGTAGTTTTATAATTGAAGCTTGCAAGAGTGAGAAAAGGACCCTGGCCGTACAATAAATCTTAGTAACTGACTCCTTCATTTTGCCTTACCATTAAGAGTGGTGTCTCACTATTATATATAGAATGGATAAACAACAAGGTCCTACTGTATAGCACAGGGAACTATGTTCAGTATCCTATGATAAACTATAATGGAAAAGAATATGAAAAAGAATATGTGTATAACTGAGTCACTTTGCTATACAGCAGATATTAACACAACATTGTAAATCAACTATACTTCAATAAAATTTTTTTTAAAAAAGAGTAGTGTCTCAAAAGAAAGTTAATATTTTCTCTTCTAAATTTATTTTGAATTTTATCATACTGGTGAAATTTACTTAAATCTTATTCCGTTAAGATTTTAAAAAATCAAATCTTGATAATTTCTTAGAGCAATTTATTCAATTTTTTTGCTATGCACTTAGAATTTTAAAAAGGCAATTGATTTAATGAGCTCTTAAGCTGTACCAACTGTAACTTAAAACATTTTAATTATGGAAGATTTCAAATGTGTACAATGAACCCCCATGTATCTATCACCCAGTTTCAACAGTTACCAACATTGTGTTATTCTTACTTCATCTAGTTCCCCCTGTTTTTCCTGAAGTATTTTATAGCAGATCCCAGGCATCGTAACATTCTACCTGTAAATATTTGGCTAAGAGGTAAGGACTTTAAAAAAAAAAAAGAAGCATAACCACAATACCACCATCATATGCAACAAAATTAACAATACCTTAATATAATTTAATACCTAGTCCAAATTTAATTTTCTCCCATCATCTCAAAGGTGTCTTTTTTGTAGTTGGTTATTAGAATGCCTCGTATAGTCAAATTTGCCTGGGAAAGAGCACCTCTAACAGATATTTGTTGACACCTACTATGTACCAAATGTTGTATGCTAGGCAAGCAATGAGGTCTGTAGTGACACAAAATACTGTACTACACCACTTATATGAAAACAGGTGATTAAATGGCTACCCCAGATCAGGTTCCTCAAGAGACAATGATAGGTGGGACTTTCAGAAGAAGATTGAAGTTGCAACAGTTCTTCAGAGATCCAAAAGGTTGTGGGGCCTTCATGTTAGACAGAGCGCCGAACTCAAGTAGGAAACCTCCATAGTAACTCTTCACAAAGGAGCTACCCTCTGGTGCATTGTTCCAGTGCTGCCAAGAAGCGGTTGTAAATAGTAGCTCTGAATAAGTATCCAACGCCTCCCAAATAAAATGTACTGCACTTAGTGCTGTAAAGACTTCCAAGGTGGATGGATGAGATCCCTCCCTGTTCAAGGAACTTAACATTTAGTAGAGAACGTATCTACACAAATAACTACAGGGCCAGGTGGAAGCCTGCAAGTGCTCAGAAAAAGTACTTGAAATTATACTGCCTTAAAGGCGCAGAGCGTTCCTAGGATCACTCGGGTGGTGGACCTGTGGCCAAGGGAATGAAGAGGAGGGGACGAGGTGCCAGGTCAGTGATGACATTTCAGTTGGACTGTGATGAATAATTGGAAATTATTCATGCAGATAAAGAAGAGGGAGAGAGAAGGGGATTTGAGGCCAAAGGATTAAAATTAGCAAAGGCAGAAAGATGGACAAAGGTGCCAAGTGTTAAGGCAACAGTACAGTCTGGATGCTGCACTGGATAAAAGATTCCAGCCAGATTGTAAAAAAAAAATTTAAGAGATTTAAACCAAGGAATTAAGATTTTGTTTATGAAGTACTGAGGAGCCATTAAATACTATAGCTCAGAAATATCTCCAAAGATAGCCCTTTATCATTCGGCCCCAACAGGTGCATGGGCCCTGATTATTTTGTTTAAACCACTTAAAAACATTTGTGAGGACTGATTTAGGTATTCACTCCGTGTAAATACCACAGCTTGCAGAACAAAACTCCAGGGTACACGTTAATATGATGTGGGAAAATAAAATAGAGAACCCCAATCCCGAATTGAACCCTTACATTTTCCCCAAAACGTTTTGAAGTCTCAAAGACCTCACCGGTTTTGAATAGAACACTACCACAATAGTGATCAATAGAGGAACGATCCGACTAAATCAGGGCTGAGTTGTAAAAACTTATCCACGGGGGAGGTCCCCTAAAAGTCATCCTTTCTTCCAGGTCCCCCATTTAAGTAGCAGATTTGGGGCGCTGTTACAATTTACAGAAATGTTAGCTGTTTGGAGTTTTCCAAAAGCCAAGGCAATTATTTCCGCGACTGCCTAACAATTAATCGGCATTTAGATGCAGCATTCCTTTAGCTCTCTGGGCCTGCGTTTCCTAACTGATGCCCTGGTAAGTATAACTGAGTACTTCCAATAAAACGAAACCAAACAAACCCTTTTGGAGTCGGTGTCTTTGTGAGTCCCCACAAAAGTCAGCCTCAACATAAGGTGAAAACTATGGCTCCCTCTCGTTTTTGCAGAGTTAGTGGGACCCTTCTGTGAACCAATTCTACCGCCCCAGGGCCGGGACAGCAGCCTCAGCCTTTGGAATTCCCACTCGGTCCCCTCCCACCGCGTCTCGTAGAGGCCGCTCGACCTACCCCACCCGCCACTTGCCTCGTACCCTCAGGTTAGCCCGGAGGCCCAGACTCTTGGCCAAGTTCTGCAGGTCACTGTACTTGAAGGAGTCCAGCTCCTCCAGGGAGGGGACGGTCATGGCGAACTGCAATCCAGGTGACCAAGCAGAGGATCGGTCCTCCACTCCCAAAACGGCCGTTCAAAACTCTGGCGCCGCTCTAAGCGTTGACCAAACCGAATGTTACAGAGTTTAAATTGAGAAAGCTGCACTTCCATTGGTTAAAAATGCCTCAAAGGCGGGTCTCCTGGTGTTGACCAATAGAAAGGCTCACTTCCCCTCCACCAGACGCACGTTCTTCACCATCCCTCACCAACACGAAGGCGCCAAACGGCGTGCCCGGCAACGAGTGCGCGGCAGAGCCCCACCCGGCCCACGTTGTCCAATGAGGACCCAGGAACCAAGCTTGGGGCGGGGCATGGCCCGTCTTTGAAACTGAGGCGCCAGCTGCAGGAAGATGGCGGCTAGGCCGCGGAGGCATCGCTCGCGCTTTGCAAAGCAGCCGCGGGGTGACTTTTGTGATGGCGCTAAGAAGACGATTGATGAACCTTCTCTTACGACTTCCATGGAGTGGGACACGCAGGTGGTGAAAGGGTCTTCGCCACTCGGCCCCGCCGGGCTGGGGCCGGAGGAGCCGTCATGCGGCCCGCAGCTGCCATGGTGGCTGCAGCCCGAGAGGTGCGCTGTGTTCCAGTGTGCGCAGTGCCACGCCGTGCTCGCTGACTCTGTGCACCTCGCCTGGGACCTGTCGCGGTCCCTTGGAGTCGTGGTCTTCTCCAGTGAGTGGGCACGGCGTCTGGGAAGCGTTGCCGCTTTCTTACTGGGTGGCTGGGAGCCGGCTGGGAGGAAAGCGGGATGAAAATTTGGAAGGAAATCAACTCCATTGCCAGGGGTCGGGGGCGAATCACTTTTCATGATTTTTGTGGCCAGGATGAGTCTTTCTGGAGGGGAGAGTTTTTCCCTTTCAATGCCTCACAGGTAGTCTTTCTGACCCGTGTTTGTCTTCCTAGGAGTCACAAATAATGTAGTTTTGGAGGCTCCCTTCCTAGTTGGCATTGACGGTTCGCTCAAAGGCAGGTAGGTACCGAGAATTCCAGATAGATCTCTAGTCATTCCCTGACTTAATGAGACTGAGGAGCGTGGAACCGACTTGTACGAGGAGAAAACAGTTTATTCCTATCTTGCACTAGAATAAAAGTCTGTTCCATCCATACAGTGTATTGGAAGGATGCTCCCTTTACCTGATTCTTGTACGAACTTGATGTATTAATGAAATGGAAGATATTTGCGTGTAGGTTTTAAGGTCTTTCTGAGGGCCACATCTCCCTAGTGGGTTGTGCAAGTGAAGTGAGTTTAAGAAAGTTATGTCTAGGGCTTCCCTGGTGGCGCAGTGGTTGAGAATCCGCCTGTCGATGCAGGGGACACGGGTTCCTGCCCCGGTCCGGGAAGATCCCACATGCCGCAGAGCGGCTGGGCCCGTGAGCCATGGCCGCTGAGCCTGCGCGTCCAGAGCCTGTGCTCCGCAGCGGGAGAGGCCACAACAGTGAGAGGCCCGCGTACCGCAAAAGTGGCGCATTGGTTGAGAGTCCACCTGTGGATGCAGGGGACACCTGTTCGTGCCCCCATCTGCAAAGATCCTACATGCCGCGGAGCGGCTGTGCCCGTGAGCCATGGCCGCTGGCCTGTGTGTCCGGAGCCTGTGCTCCGCAACGGGAGAGGCCACAACAATGAGAGGCTCGCCCGCCGCCCAAAAAAAAAAAAAAAAAAAAAAAAAAAAAGAAAGTTACGTCTAGTAGGGGAAAAAGAAAATTACCTTTAAGTGTATAGTGAGAATCACTTACCATAAACTACAATCCTTTGACATAACTAGGAATTACAAGTTTTCATTTAACCTGGAATTTGTAATAAGTTATGGCAGGACTAATTCTGCTGTAACCCGGGGAAAAACACTGGTGGAAAGTTACTTGAATATTGCCTGGTAAACTCTGCATCTTGACTGTAGTGTGATTTACAAGTAACAACAAAGTACTCAGTTGAATTCAGTAGTACAAAGCTACTCAATTTTCAGTGTTGGTTTTAACAGCAAGACAGTTCATTCTGACCACAGTTTGGTTCAATTTTAATGTTAAATAGAGTTCGTATAGGAATTCTTAGTTGCTGTACTCAGTAATCAGGAAGAGTTCTGCAGCTCCCCTTTCGTAACTTAAAGACACTCCCTATCCTTGCAGGAGTGTCCTCTTCCCACCCAAAGGAAACAGAGAGGGAAGGAGTGATGGCCTGCTTGGAACTGGTTCATTTGGGGCCAGAGGCAGAAGCTCTCTGAATATCTTCTTAGAGGGAAGCACATCTAGCTAGACCTGTGCTGTCCAGTACTGTAGCCACTAGCCACATGGTGGCTATTGAGCACTTAAAAGGTGGCCATTCTGAATTGAAGTATGCTGTGAGTGCAAAATACACACCAGATTTTGAAAACTTGGCCCAAAACATTGAATAATTTAAAAGTACTGATTACATGGGTTTTTTTTTTTTTTTTTTTTTTGGTTTTTGGCCACACCGCACAGCTTGTGGAAGGAAATCTTAGTTTCCAGACCAGGGATCAAACCCAGGCCCAGGGCAGTGGAAGTGCCGAGTCTTAACCACTGGACCCTCAGGGAATTCCCTTGATTACGATGTTTTTGAATATTGGGTAGCATAAAATATATTAAAACTAATTTTACCTGTTTCTTTTTTTTTTGAAGCTAAACTAATAGTAGATGTAAAATTACTTATGTGGCTTGCATTCTTAATAGACAGTACAGATCTAGATGGTTTATAAAACACTGGATAGAAAGTTCCATGTGTTTGGAATAAGGAGAGCCGTGGGACCCAGCAGGAAGAGATTTATTGTCAGGAATTGGCTCACTAGATTATGGAGGATGAGAAGTCCCAAGAGACAAGGTTGATAAGCTGGAGACACAGGAGAGCCAGAGGTTTAGTTCTAGTCCAAGTCCACAGGCCTGAGATCCATGAGCCAAAGGTGTAAGTTCCAGTACAAAAGCCAACAGGCTCCAGACCCAGGAAAAGCTGAACGTTTCAGTTCAAGTTCAAAGGCAGGAAAAAAAAGATCAGTGTTGCAGGAAAAAAAGATCAGTGTTGCAACTCAAGGCAGTCAGGCAAGAGGAGTTCCCCTTTTTCATGAGAGGGCCAGCCTTTTTGTTCTGTTCAGGTCTTCAACTGATTAGATGAGGGTCACCCATGATAAAGAGGGCAAACTGCTTTACTCAGTCTACTGATTCAAATATTACTCTCATTCAAAAACATCCTCATAAACACATTCAGAATAACATTTGGCCAAATAACTGGGCACCCTTTGGCTCAGTCAAGCTGACACATAAATTTAATCATTACTTGTTAACCTGGCATCCACATGCATCTCCTAAACCCATACTTAATCTCCAAATAAAGACAATAACAAGGTCGTAATTCTTCCTAACATATTACAGCTATCTTGCATACAACTAAAAACGCACTAAAACCTTTTCCAGAAGAGGAGATAAAGTCCTTAAGTGATACTTACTTTTCTCCTTGATATCTCATAGCTTAAATACTATGATGTAAAATTAATACTTAAATACTATAATAAAAAGTCAGTACATCTTATGTTACATAAGGGAAAAGAAAGGGAAGAAGACATAAACACGCATATACATGTAAACCTATTCATAACAAAATGAGGAGATATTCATGACAATTACATTCCTGTAACTGGTCACATGGTTATAGCTGGTATTTATAACTACCCTCTTCCACTACCCATTCTGTATTCCTTTTGCCTTCATCAGGCACTCAGATGATCATAGTTCTTTACCTGGTGTGATGCAAACCTTCATTCCTGGGCCATTAGCAGACTAATACTCAATGAAATATTTGTTATATGTTACATGCTAAGCATTATTTTGGGATCTCTTTACATTTTGCTCTGTGCCATTTATTTTTTTAAAGACACTTTTAAAATTAATTATTTATTTATTGTCTGCATTGGGTCTTGGTTGCTGCGCGCAGGCTTTCTCTAGTTGCGACGAGTGGGGGCTAATCTTTGTTGCAGCGCACGGGCTTCTCATCATGGTGGCTTCTCTTTGTTGCAGAGCACGGGCTCTAAGCATGCGGGCTTCAGTAGTTGTGGCATGTGGGCTCAGTAGTTGTAGCTTGCGGGCTCTAGAGTGCAGGCTCAGTAGTTGTGGCGCACGGGCTTAGGTGCTCTGCGGCATGTGGGATCTTCCCGGACCAGGGAACAAACCCGTGTCCCCTGCATTGGCAGGCAGGTTCTTAACCACTGCGCCACCAGGGAACTGCACCACCAGGGAAGTCCCAGCTCTGTGCCATTTATTAGTTTCTATAGACATTTGTCTATAGGTACTGTGGTTTGTCTGATATAATTAATTCCTACTTAGGAATTAATAAAAATGCAACTTTATTTCATGGCTTGCTTTTTGGTAATATAGTCACAAAAATACAGTACTGCATGTGTGGTGTGGGACTTCATTTACTAGTGAATTTATATTTTGTTGCTTGGTCTTTAGTGTCCATTGACGTGAATCTGTTTTTAGCCATGCAATTATTATACTTTATTAGTACTCATTTACTGCATATAGTATGTTTATACAGATAATTTTTTTCCCTTACTAAACCACTCTAAATTGCTTTCAGTACATGAATGATGAAAGTTAATTTCTTCTTATTTTTTGTAATATTTGGATTTGTCTTATATACCAGCAAATAAGGTAAGTGACTTACCTACATGGTGTAACTAGAACTAAAATCCATGTTTCCTGATTCCTCATCCAGTAATCTTTCAAAGGATAAAGGAAAATAAAATAGCTTGCTAGGACAATACGATTTATTTTCTTTCTTTTGCATTTTATCTGGGTAATTTTTTAATTTTTTGTTATATCTGCAAAAACAAAGTAAAACAAAACCTGATTTGAGTTCTATTAATAAATTGCTTAATAAGCCCTAATCAATTTGATTGTTTTACTTTAACTGGAAATTGGCTTAATGGTAGCTAATTTATATGGTCATGTGTAGTTTTATATGTTTAAATG